GTTTTGTTCTTCTTCCTCGATCTGAACGCACTAAGCTTACTTCTAAAACTGCCCGTTGCTGTTTCCTTGGCTATAGTGACATTCATAAAGGCTACCTTTGTTATGATCCCTCTTCCCGTCGTGTTCGTATTGCATGTCATGTTGTGTTTCTTGAGAATTTGATGTACCATTCGTCTTCCTCTGTGTCTGACCCTCCCTTGTTTGACCTATCCCTTGCTCCGCCCTGTTTTGGTGATGATGACGATGGATATCTTGATGATGAAGCTCCAGAGCTGCCCCCCAACTCCCCCCCTTCGCCCGCGCCTTCGGCTTCCAGCTCGTCCGACGAATCCTCGTCCACCTCGCCTTCGCCTTCTCCGCCTCCAGTGGCACCACTTCGTCGCTCACTTCGCAGCACTCGAGGTGTTCCACCGGTACGTCATATGGATTATTTGGCCTTCAGTGTTGATCCCATTCCTGTTCCTACTCGGTATTCACAGGCTAAAGGGAATCCGGATTGGGATAATTCTATGACGGAGGAAATTGATGCTCTACATGCCAATCATACCTGGGATATGGTACCTCGGCCCCCTCCTTCTGTTCCGGTTATTGGCTCTCGGTGGGTCTATACCATTAAAGTCAGACCTGATGGCTCCATTGAGCGGTTCAAATCTAGGGTGGTGGCTCAAGGTTTTTGTCAGGAATATGGCATTGATATTGAGGAAACCTTTGCCCCGGTTGCAAAGATGGTCACAGTTCGTGCTCTCTTGGCTGTGGCGTCTATTCGAGGTTGGCCATTGTTTCAGCTTGATGTTAAGAATGCATTTCTGCATGGGGAGCTTAAGGAGACTGTCTATATGGAACCACCTCCTGGTTATACCTATGGCGAGCCAGGCCAGGTGTGCTTACTTCGTCGTTCTCTCTATGGTTTGAAACAGGCTCCTCGGGCGTGGTTTGATAAATTTCATTCCACTATTCTCGCTCTTGGCTTCGAGCAGAGTCTTAATGACCCTTCTATGTTCACACGCAGTTCTCCTCGTGGACTTGTGGTGCTCTTATTGTATGTCGATGACATGATTGTTACTGGTGATGATGACTTGGGGATTGCTGCTCTTACTAAAGGACTTCATGAGTCTTTTAGTCTTAAGGAGCTTGGTTACGTTTCCTACTTTCTGGGACTTGAGGTTAAGCGCAGTAGCGCCGGGATTCTCTTATGTCAGAGCAAGTACATTGATGACTTACTTGTCTCCTCACGTTTTGGTGAGTGCTCTGCTGTTTCTACTCCCATGGAGCTTGGTTTGAAGCTTGGACGTGAGTCTGGTGATCTTTTGCCTGATGGTGGTAAGCATTATCGTAGTGTGGTTGGGAGCCTTATCTATTTGACGTCGACTCGCCCTGATATCGCCTATGCAGTTCAGATTGTGAGTCAATTTATGTCTGCTCCTCGTACAGATCATCTTGCTGCTGTCCATCGTATTTTGCGGTACCTACAGGGTACTCGCGAGGTGGGGTTGTTTCTCCCATCGTCTGGTTCCCTTGATCTTCAGGGTTTTTCTGACTCTGATTATGCTGGTTGTATTGATACTCGTCGATCCACTACTGGTTGGTGCATTCGTCTTGGTGAGTCCTTCATTTCATGGCGTTGTAAGAAGCAGGACCGGGTATCTAAATCTTCTACTGAAGCTAAGTATCGTGCTATGTCTGATGTTGCTTCTGAGCTGGTATGGCTTCGGCGGTTGCTGGGTGATTTAGGCGTGACTTGTGCCATTCCTCTCCAGCTTTATGTGGATAACACGAGCGCCATTCAGATTGCTACTAATCCGGTGCTTCATGATCGCACGAAGCATATCGAGGTTCATCTTCACTACGTACGAGACTTGGTTCGTGATGGCATTCTGCGGCTGTTCTACATCACTTCTGAAGACCAGATTGCCGATCTGTTAACCAAGTCGTTCTCGGCTAGTCGACATTTTTACCTTTCTCGCAAATTGATGATGAGAGATCCTCATCAATTTGGGGGAGGCTGTTAGGTAATGTGTATGGGCTTCGGCCCACATCCCTAGTCACGGAGGATTAGTGAAAGTGACTTAGGGTTAGCCGACTATTGGTCTAGGGTTAGAGACCCTAGCTTGTATATATATGTATGTACGTGAACCTATGAAGCTTAAGCTGAATGATACGATACGATAGCTTCGGCCGTGGACTAGTCTCGTTCATACTGAACGGGGAAACCACGTAACTCCTAGTGTCGATTTACTCTTTCTGTTTCGATATATCGTTACGATTAACAATATAGAGTCGAGCAATGTTCGTCAAACAACGTGACTATCCATAAAGTTATCTATAGTAACATTACTATCGTCAACCTTTCTCCTTTCTTATTCCATTTGAGTTCTCAATCTCTACTACTTTCAAAGCGGAGCTAAGCTAGCTTCCTAGAAGCAAGGTATGGGCAATGCTTTTCTGTTCGTAGACCGCAAGGCATTTGGACCTGAAGAAGAAAATTGGCAGTTGCAGCTGGAAGTCCAGATGCAACGCAGATTTGGACCGCATATTTTTGGGCCTTGAATTCCAAACCATATTCAGTGGGCAACCCAAAATGATTCTTTCTTTTTTACTAGGGGTTTTCCCCTGCTTTTTTTAGAAGAGAAATTTCAACTCTTGAGTATGAGTTTGAGTATTGAAGTTGTGTATGATAATTTTTAGAATATAAACTTGAAAGTTGACTAATTAGACTAATATAGCCCTAAAAAGACCTAGAAAAGACAACAATGGAGAGTTGAGTACTAGGTAGAGAAGTTGGATTTTGGATTACAAGAACATTTGACATTCAAAAGAGGGGGAAAGCTAGATTTGTGCAACTTTGTTGAATGCAAATTTTTTTTTAAGAATCTTAGAAAGATGTAGGATAGAAGGAAAGCATTCTTTTTATTCTCGTTTCGTAAGATTTTAATTCGTGAGCCGTTTGTACTTGCGTTGGAAGATGGATCGTTTCGTAGTTTTTTCTTAACGACATTTCAATTTTTTTAGGATCATCCGGACAATGTGTTTTCTTAGTACAATGACTTGGAAAGTGTGCACACAATCTAGCTAATATGACAAGCTAGGCAAAATGAGAATGTATATTGCTATTTGCTAAATGGCAATATTATCAAATTCTTCTGGACATATATGGTGCAAAAGTCAGGGCAAGGTTTGGTTTTTTGGATAAGACATCGCCACTTTTTTATGGTCTCATAACTGTTTTCTGAAGATTCCTTGAATAAATATTCAGACTCGATATTTATTTCTTCCCAAAACTTCACAGTCGCAACAGGTCAGAGTGCTACTAGGAATTCGATGTAGTGAATTAACTTACTTCATCGTCTCCGGAACTTTCAAGAGACTAGGTGAAATCAAAGGCGATTAATATGATACATCTAACGACACATCACTAGCTACTACCAAAATGAGAAACAGTTGAATCCTAACGTGTCATTCCTAGCAATACATAAGATCCGATCAATCAATGTGACAAAATGTGTGTCACATTCAACTAATTTAGCTAGGGTTTCTATTCTTCTTAACCCTTGCACATGGATAGCCATTAGCAATGGTGCCCGATGAACCAAAAATCTTTCATTGGAGAGCATAAAGCTTCATTCTAGGGTTAAAGGGGGAAGAAGGCCATTCATAGAAAAAGCAGTGAAATTTGGGCAAAAGACATAGATTTGTGGGTATCATGTTGATTAACTGTCATGCATGTCTCCCTTTTAATTTCGTCCCCTGCTTTACAACATGAATGAATTTGTCAATTACATTGGCTCAGATTTGGGAACAAATACAGCTACGCAGGGCAAAAGTCATAACACGGGAATAATGCCTTCAATGGATCATCATCATTTTTTTTTTTTATGAAATGGATCATCATCATTACCATCAACAATCAGCTATTTTTGCTTAATTTTACATACACTCTTTCAAACGAAAAAAAAAAAACTAAACAACAGATTTAAAGCTTGTACAATCACCTAATTCTACATGATAATTAAATAATCAACGACTAACATTTGTAAGTCGCGCTCCAAGAACCAAACACACGATCTATCCAGAAATTTCGATACCATATCAAGAATTAGTCCCTCCCATCCCATCAACTCGAATAGCCTTGAGCATGCATGTATAGGTAGGGTTTACACGTGGTATGAAAAGAATTTTTTTTTTATGGCGCACAAGTACCCTTACTATACGTATACATATTCACATACTAATTAATCATGAATTATCATCGTCAATATTTGTTGATAATTTGAATATACTTGCCCAAAAATAGTTCATTCACAACACAGATTAAGACTTCCCCAAAATAGCTGGACGGTTTGAGCGCCACATACGTGGTCGGAACTCGGAAGTCAACCCTACACAACCGTCTCTCTTGTTTTGGTCACTAATTAAAAAAAAAAACCCCCAGAAATATGATGTTGACCTCGGACACCAGCCGCAATTATATATATAATATCAAATTAATCAATTATCAAAATAGTCGCAACATGATTACTGTTTGTCAAACAACCAGCGCTTAATTACGCTTAACCCTCCTCGAACCGACCACTTTTAATAATCCCAAAATATTCAGATTAGCGACTAAACCGAATGTTTGAAAATCTAATTAATCACCCCCCGCCCCGGTCAAACACTCGCCAAACATGCCTTTATTTTTATTTTTTTCCCTCGTCACTTTTCCCTTCTATATAGTCCTTCCACCATTTCCACCTTCTCCTCCCACCATTTTTCCTCTTCTCCTCTCTTCTCTTCTTCTAATGGCGTCGAAGGTCTTAATGCCAATCCCAAGCCACGTGTCCGACGTGGCCAACCCGTATCATCCGACGTCGTTTCGCTCCCTGCAGCCATCCGGTCAAGTGATGAAGAGCTTGACCAAGAAAGTAGCAACAACGTCTCCTCCTTCGAGTGACACGGTTCGTTCCACTCCTCCTCCTGCCGTGGTTCGGCCACCGACGGCGGCGGCGTCCACGAGTGGTGCAATGAAGGGCTCGTTGGCGCAAGTGTGGAGGAAGGTGCAAGGTTGTGGCGACTGGGAAGGTCTCGTGTCGCCGTCGTTGCACCCGCTGTTGAGGGAAGAGATTGTCCGATACGGGGAGCTAGTGTCGGCTTGCTACAAGGCGTTCGAGCTCAACTCGAGCTCGAGCCGTTACTTGAGCTGCAAGTATGGGAAGGGGAGCATGTTCGAGGAGGTGGGGATGGGTGGTTCGGGGTACGATGTCACTAGGTACGTCTATGTGACTGCTCCTGATATCATGACCAGCATCCCCAGCATCCGACCCGGTGGGTCGGATGCTGGGTCGGGTGGCAGCTGCTGTCGTGGTCGATGGGTTGGGTATGTGGCGGTGGCATCGGATGACATGACTGACAGGCTGGGGAGGAGGGACATCCTCGTCACGTTTCGAGGGACCGTGACGAGCCAGGAGTGGGTGGCGAACCTGATGAGTTCCCTGACTCCTGCCAGGCTGGACCCCGGGGATCCCAGGCCGGAGGTCCAGGTGGAGTCAGGGTTTCTGGGGCTCTACACCTCGAACGAGTGCGGTGGCAGCAGGTTCGGCCTCGAGAGCTGCAGAGAGCAGCTTCTCTGCGAGATCTCGAGGCTGCTGAGGAAGTACAAAGGGGAGGAGGTCAGCATTTCGATAGCCGGGCACAGCATGGGGAGCTCCCTCGCTCACTTGCTCGCATACGACATCTCCGAGCTCGGGTTGAACGTGATGAACAATCATGTCAACTCGAGCAGGAGGACGACGACGGAGCACGGCCACCATCGTGCACCGTCGTCCACGGTCCCAGTGACCGTTTTTTCGTATGGCGGGCCGCGAGTGGGGAACCTCGGGTTCAAGCAGAGGTGCGAGGAGCTGGGAGTGAAAGTGTTGAGGGTCGTGAACGTCCACGACCCTGTCACGAAGCTCCCCGGTGTCTTTCTCAACGAGAATTTTAGGGTTTTGGGGAACTACGAGCTCCCTTGGAGTTGTTCGTGCTACTCGCACGTTGGGGTCGAGGTGCTACTCGATTTCTTGGACGTCAAGAACCCTTCTTGTGTTCATGATTTGGATGCCTACATTAGCCTAGTAAGGTGTCCGAGGGAGGAGGGCATCATCCATGAAGATGGAGTAGTAGGGAACATTTTCGAGAGAGTAATGAGTAATGTTGTAGGGAATTTTGAGCTCTGCCGGTTGAGGAGAGCGGCTAGTGGTATGGTAGACCAATTTTTGGTTCAGTCTCAAGGTGCTGAATTTTTAATGGATAATAACTTCTTAGGATGGATGAATTGCTTGGCTTTGTATATGCTCATGTAAGGTATATAATATAAAAATCAATTAATTAATTATCTAGCTAGAACATTACCCACACAGATTACCCAATGTTTGATTTGGAAATAATAAGAAGCAAAAGAAACTCGATCAAGAAATTATGTATTTTTGTTCTAATAATCTGTTGGGAGCTCAAGTGACTGTAGAAAATGGAAGGACGTCGGATCGAATCCGCACAAATTTCATTCATCTCATTCATTTGCTGCTTTATTAAGAGGTATATATGTTTGATATACTTTTTTTTTTACCAACATTACAAAAATATTATCCCTATTCGATACTCGCATTTAAAATCTCTCAATTACATGCATATCATGACAACATAAATCGGGTACGAATAACAATTACTCCCTGATGTGTGCCATTGTTATGAAAACAATAGTTTGGGGATGTAAACCAAGCGTTAATTACTAATGCTTGTAAACCAATACATAATTTTATGGTCGAAAATCAAACAAAACTCACACTCAATAACAAAATTCACACACATAATTATGACCAATATTGAGTAAAACCGGCCAGTTTGAAAATCACATTCCAAATCCCTCCTATCAAATCGTGTTAACAAAAAGCAGAACAAAGTAATTACCTCCTAAAACCGAGACAAAAATCAGAACCCGAATCCTTTTTAACCTGTACATCAATCTCTTCGTGTTCTTCTACGTTTAATCGCAAAAACTTTCAACCACAGAGAGGCAATTCCTTTGACCGTACGTGTCTCTCCACTTCTGACAAACAAAAACCAGAGACCATTTCTCACCGACAAAAGTAGTTTGTTTCCTTTATATTTGGTGAACAACCATGACTGTAAAAAAAAAAAAAAAAAAACTGATTTAAGAATATATTATTTTATGTTAATTAAATACGAGGTTTTGTCTGTATATAGAATATATAAGGTACACAAACGTACAGCAAGGAACATTAGAAATGACGGCCCATCTTTGTGGCTGTGAAGCCCCCTTTAATTTGCTCTCTCACACACTCGAGTCTCATTCTGTCGTAATTAATTTAACAACTTTGTTGTTACGTTCTCACTTCTGTGCAGAAGAAAAAATGCAAGAAAGGAACCAAAACAACACGGTTGCATTGTGACCTACAGAACAGCAGAGAGTTGGTGCATAGAAAGTCATTTATGGCTTTGACATGCAAATTAATGCCGCCATGGGAAAAGGCCGGTTTTGATTGTACAAGTTTGTTCGATCAGGCTGTTAGATGTGAAATGTGAGCATGGATATATGAACACGAAACGAATTGAATCCCATAGTTACGTTTCTTGATGTGTTGGGCTTGCTTTCTTGCCCTAACAGCCGGCTCGAAGGGGTGAAAGAGCTTGAGAAAAGCGCGGGACTGGCGGGTATCTAGATACTCATATCTGTCATGCACTGATGAGTAGTGTAGGATCAGGTTGGGTGAAGTTGTGTGTGTACGGGGACGAAATAAGTTTATCCATTCTGACATGTTATTTGAAATAAAAAAAAGGAACGCAATACGTACGTCAAACTGATCACCTACGAGAAACATAGAGATAATTATTGATTGAATCAATGTAATAATTAGTTGAAATTTCGAGTCCTGCGCTTACTGAAAGTTTCATTGAAGCGAAAAATACGATTTAATATAAGTTAAAAGATGATAAATACAGGTAGATATATTGAGGCAAATTGAAATAAAACGGATCGAGAAAGAGGTGGGACGGGATTGGACTGGACGGAAGTAGCTAGTAACCAATGCCCCGTCGCATTACTACTATAGGAATCGGATAATACCGGCTTGCTCCAAAATTAGTCACGACAGGTCGAATCACGCGGATCGGATAAGAATTTGCCATCATTAATTGCCTGTCCACTTCAGACACCTAATATCATATGCAACAAACCTAGCAACCTTCCATGAAAGAATTAGTACCAATCGAACCGACTATTAGTACTCGATCTCTGTATTCATCACCTGCCAATCTCTCAACCAACAAAGAATACATACATGAAGCTCGTTATAACGACGCGACATGCTTCATATTATCATTCACCATATTATATGATGTATTGATGTGTTGATAGTGATGATGATGATATGTGACGAAAGAAAGGTATACAATCGAAACCAAATGTGAACTCTTTTTAACATACTACAGAATAAAAGTGCTTGAAACCAAGACCAGAAAGTTGTACTAAACTAAACCATGGCTTATTTGTTTAGGCTATAAAAAGAGCATCATTCTCAGCTTTTTGTTGGCCCTCTGTAATGTGAAGGGGACACGTTTCAGTATTAAAATTTTGTCTTTCGTATTGGAACCACTTTCTTCTGTCGCCGTTTGATGAAAATTAAACATCACCCGTGCGATTCATTAACTGAAATATTTTTTACAATTCATGTCTCCCATCAAAAGACACACACTCCTCGATCGGGCCATAGTCTCAAAAGTATCGTGCATACGCTAGTAATTTGAACTAGAATGTGCATATGTTACGATCGGGAACGTTATAGATGGAGGAGGAATGATCGGTGTCTGAACCTAAAGATGTCGCGTATGCAGCTCTCCTGATGAATGATGATCAAGCAAGGAAAGTTTGCTACATATAGCTACCCAGAATTAGTGTCCATTATTTAGGTTTTGTTTGACTGTTTGAGCTTGATTAGGTTCCTTCCGAAAGACAATGCACGTAAATAACGTCAATATATAATCTTGTATTTCTCTCAATATCTACAATTCAGAACATTATAGGTGAATGATGGAATGATGTCTGAACCTAAAGATTTCACGTGTGCTCCTGATGATGATCGAGATCGTTATAGGTGGAGGATATGAATGACGCGTGAACCTAAAGATGTCACGTGAGCTTCTGATGATGATCAAGCAAGGAAGTCTGCTACATAGTTACTTAACATTAGCATAAGGTTTCATTATTTGAACTCGTTTAGGTTTTTCAGTGTGTGTATATAATGCAATAGATAATCTTGTTCATTTCTCAATATCTCGAATTATTGGAATGAGTTAACTAGGGGATTTATTAGTTTGGTCAGCTGGTGATTATTATAACTTGTGACCTAATCCGGTCCACACTTAAACACCTTTTGTTTCCTAGCTAGTATTAAAGCACTAGTGGCTGCACTACTATTATGTCCACTAATTCACGTGATTAAACGACGTTGTAATATATACTTGTCTAACGCCAGGTGGCAGACGGATTATGATTAAACCCAAACATTAATCAGTTAGTAGTTAACTATTGTTAATTAATCCATAAATTAATCGCAGTGATTTGCTTTTATTCGTCATCATTCTGATTGTGACTGGATTGATTCGGTTTTGATATTATTTTCCCATTGATCCACAACACATGAAATCTTATTACCCATATAATTTGAAGACAAACACGGAATAAGGGTTTGACGAAACGAATTAAAACGAGCGAGTTTCAAACAATTTCCCCGGCCGTTGAAACGAGTTTCCAACATTTTTGAATTGCATAGGTAAGTTGTTGACTAATGATTTTTACACATGATCAAGGAATTCAACTCCGCTATGATTCTCACAACCCATATGTTAGAACGTGCCCATAAATGTGGGCATCATTGGATCGCACGCGGGCTTCATCTATTATGAGTTATGATATAGAGTATCATAGTTCAATATTGGTTTAACTCATTGTCTCGATAGAGATATTTCACTAGGAGAATCTCGAGTATCGTATAGCCCAGTAGTACAATAGTCTTCATATATATGGTAATGACTTATGTACTTTCGGAGTATATCATACTCCAGATGTATTTCGTTCTACTTTAGCGAAACAGAATTGTCGATTATTATCTTTTATTAAATTGAATCTTCCCATCTGATTCCAGAGAATCGTGTTTAGTGTTTATTTACTGAAATTAAAGTATAATATGATACTGAAAACTCAATTTAGTTCATGGTCTAGTTATCTAGATAGAGCTTTCTCACTAAAATTACTAAACATATCGTATGCTCCAAAAATACCAAAACAATGTGATCAATATTACCTAGTTAGCGATATGTAGATTTGTGAACACTAGCTTGTGGCTTGTTGCCAAACTCCACCTATATATGTTTGGATTTAATCAAGTAGCATTGCCCAAAAAGCCCAATTCCAAGGCAACAGAACCTTTCCACTCAAGCAATTAAATAACTTGTTAGCTACACCAAAGCATGCACATGCTACACTCTATTATAATTAACCTATACCTAGCTTGAAATCAACAACATAATCAATGATTAATCACCTAATTATCTTCTTAATCTAACAAAAGTAATGTCGAGTACTGATGTAGGCTAGATAGGGCAAGAAACACATGGCCATTGATCTCTACATGCAAGTCTTCCATTATAGCACTTGCAATGGATTTTCTTTGATGGACTTTAGTTTCTCATTGCTTTGATTGATTAATGATCATATTATTATAATCGAGTTGTGTCATTAAATCATAATCTCAGCAGCTAATTGTGACTTGATGATGCCAAGCCGACATGCACTTTTCACCAACATGATCCATCATCATCGTGTGTGTTGTTGGCATCCAAAGCTATAGCTCTCTCTACATTGATGTAGCCAACGATTTAATCTAGAGGGTCTAAAGATTGGTCGAACCATTTTAAATGGTAAATTCTCTTAGTTGGAGGCATAGGATCTAGGTTTGAAACTTTCCTTTGCCATGGGAACTTGTTTTTTAGTGTACATTTAGTTCGTGACTTCGTCAATGACTCTCTAACTAGTTAGCTAAACGTAGGGATGACAGTTTCGATCTGATCCGTTTTACTAGATCTGTTTGGTCTGTTTTGGGGCGGACATGGGTACTCTCATTGACTCGACCTGCCCTAACCCGCCCCATTCTCGACCCGTTCTTGCCTAAATTACATGTAAATTTAGTCAAACTACTTAGGATTTTCCTTTTATTAAATCATATTTTAGCTATAATAAAGTTGTAAATTAGTGAAAACCTCAATTTCTCCTATATTTAACTACATTTATCATAATATTGTTTGTTTTCTTGGTCTTAAAATAAAAATAACACATATTTCTAATGTTTTTCGTATAAATTGCATACCCATTGGGTCGACCTGCCCCGACCCGTGACCTGTGATAAATTATCCGATCTGGACCCGACCTAACCATAGAGCGGGTCTTGGTACCAAGAAACCGACCCTGGACCTGCCCCATTGTCATTTGAACCCAACTAGTTGAATCAATCAACACTTAACACAATGACGAAGTCAGAATTTAGATTGATAGAAGGTAAAAAAAAAAAAAAAAAAAACACAGTAACCTCGATGAAGGGAGAGGGTTAATAGCCTACCATAATGCCTTGTTAGCTTCAAGTGCTTAGCTTGCCCCTTTGTTCTTGGCTACTACTTGGTTAACTTCTATAAAAAAAAAAATTGTAACCTAAAAGCAAATATTGACAGGGGCTACATCCATCTCTTCTATTGCTTAGAAAAAATAAAGACAATCTTATGGATTTCTACAAGCATTACATTGTAGTTAAAGTGGTCGAGAAGTTGAATTCATCTAAAATGAATTTCAAATTTGAATCCAGTCTTGTCTTTCTTAGCTGAGACTCATTTGAATGCATTATATTTTTATCTGCATATACCGAAAATTGATGAATTACCTCATCTCTGATAAAAAAGTTGCAGACATTTTTTTATTTTCATTAGATCTTCTCTGGAAAAAAAAATAGATGAACAAATATCTACACATTTACAATACAACCTATTTACTAGGTAATCAAAGAACAAAGTCAAACCCAGAAAGAATTTACAAAATCAAAAGTTTCAGACGTAATTAAGTACACAAATCGGCATTAATAGACTACCAAACCGCTTAAGATTTAGGGGAAGGAATCGAAGCGTGTAAGTATCTGGGCTTATCCGTTTTCCTTATATGAAGCCCAAGCCTAGTAGCCCATCTAAGGAAGCACCCCGTCCAAGTCTTGAAATTTTTGGCCCAATTAGACCCTAATCACAATTCCTGCCTATTGTATATTATCGTCCTTCTAAATTTGATGCTAGTCCTAGACTAACATAATCGTCAGCCTAGATTTACACTTCAGGTTGAACCACATAATTCATGCGACATAACTTAATCGGATTACAAACTGAATATAATCCTTCAGATGAAATGAGATTAAGGGTTGTAATGAATATATAGTTTATTGTTATATGTTGTTTAAAAAGTAACGGATTACCAGTTTACCACTATTCAATACAAAATTGAGAAGTTGATATGCCGACAGAGTTGATCGGCCATCGACCAAGTGGGGTTACTTGTCGCACACATTTTGATCCTTGTTCGGGCTATCTGCCCGTAAAAATAAGGGGATTCCCTTGTTCTAGTCATTGGTAAATAAGTTGGGAAAAAACAGCCAATATCAGTATCTTGATAAATGAACTAATTCCCCCCCTCAAAAACAAACACAATCGTTTAATGATACACGATTAAGTACTTCGTGAAACCAGCGACGTCTTCGAAATGATAACACAGCTTAACCGAATAACATGAATACGAGTGGGGGGGGAGTACATTTGACAACCTGAAATGATAGAAATTAAGGGATGAAAACTGAGGAAAGCAGACTATGATGGATAGGACTTAGGAGAGTGGGGAAAAATTATTCTAGGAGCAACTTGTGGGGATGGGCCACTTGCCTTTTTGCAGCTAAAAATTGTCTATACGCAAGTGGCTCGACTCTCTGTCTCTGGCACATAGATGATAGATCACAAACAACAAAAATTCCAAAAGTCATTCAAGAATAAGGTTTACACAAAATGGTCCTCAAAGTTGCTGCCTTTGTTTACATTTGAACCCAACCGGCTAAAAAAAATGCTTCCACCCACCCACCCACCTCCATCCAGCCGAAGTAATGAGTAATGACGCAGTTGCATAGTTTGAGCTCGACTCTCAACTTAGTGGAGCTCAGCTGAGGGATGAGTGAGTAGAGATGATTTAGCGACGAGAATATTGAGAGTGAACGGACACGACAAACAAACTAATAATCAAATGACCATTTCGTACAAGCATCACACTTAGCTGACCTTTTTCGCTAATTTCCGTCAGACTTTTCCATAAGCGTAGAGAGAGACAGAGCGAAAGAGGAGAGAGAGAGAGAGAGAGAGCCTCGTCGTCGACTTTATTCTTGTTGGCCAATACTCTCCAAATCCAAAACCGAAAACCGCCTCCTTTCTTTTTCTCCTCCTCCTCTCTCGCCCTAGGAAAAAAAAACCCACCTCGTGTCTTTCCTTTCCCTCTCTCTCGCCATTCCATGTATCCGCCGCCACCGTCGACGGCGACGAATTCCTCCTCCTCCAAGACACCGCCCGGGCTGACGCGGTACGGCTCCGCCCCCGGGTCGTTCCTCACCAAGGCGGTCGACTCGGTCATCGGCGCCGACGAGGGCCGTCGGTTCTACGCCGCCAATAATACCGGCAACAACAACAACAGCAAGCACTTCTCCGGCGGAGGCGAGTCGTTCTCGTCTTCCCAGCTGACCTCCGAGTCAGGCTGCCGAGTCAACTCGTCCGTCGACCATAAATCACCCGGTGGTGGTGATCGGGTCAAGAGATCCGACGTATCGAACGCCATGGCTCGCGGGGGGCCGCCGCCGTCGTTGCTGCGTCAGAAGAGCTCTCCCGCCGGGTTCCTCTCCAATCTCGTTTCCGAAAGCGGTAAGTTACCTGCTCCCATTTTTTGCACTTCTCATCACTTAACTTTCACTACAACTTACAAATTGGTCCACCTGCCTTATGAATCTAACATGGAACTCCGTAAAAAAAATCCACAATTCGGCATCGACTTTCGTTTGTTTGAGGGGGCGTATAAGAGGTTAAAAGGCTTAACTATCCCTTTCCCAACAACTCGAGTTATAAGGACCAAGTGGTTAGTTTGCTAACAGAACTCCGATCGTTCTAGGTCGATGGCTCGTTACGTATCATAGGTTGAACTGGTATCATTTCATCAATTTTTATGTCCATCTTACATCGCATTTAAAAAAAGAGTTATAATTGAGTCTCATCAATTCGATATGCTGAAAATTCATTAGACGTTGAATTTTGTTTGTGTAATCGGATGCGGTAGTTTCTCTAGGATTTGAACCGAGTACACATAGTGCGCGGTCCTTACATGTTGTTACTCTACTCAATTCGTACAAATCATCTCCTCAAGCTGTATCATAGATCAAACTAAGTATGAGTTTGGCAAATTCATGACGATTTTATTGCACAGCATTGTTGTTTTAGTTTTAAATCATTGAATTCTGTAGTTTTTACTCCATAAACTATCTGTAAACATTAAATGGTTTTGTCGTCGTATCAAACTAGACAATAATGAAAATATAAATGTAACCAATACGAATACGTAGAACATTAGTAGGCATATGGAAACACAGAAGATTCATTACTCCTTAGTCCTTAGCCTATAAGGATTACCATTCTGCAACTTAAGCAAAGAGCCAGTGACTGATTCTGCAATTTACCAAGGCATTTATTCCCTCTTTATTACTCCAGCATTGCTGTTTGGTAATTGGTGGCCCTATCAAAAACTAAGAAAGAAAATTCCTGATTGGTACATTCTTTTGTTCATTTGTTTTTATATGTTCCATTCCCTCCAATAGATAACCGTTGTCTGACTTGGCAGTAAAGTGAAATTTACCACCAAACAGTGTCACGTAGTTGAATATACATAATTACCCTTCACGTGTGTTTGTCGTCCCACTTGCTCCTAACTTTTTAGTAAATTTACTACCTAATTTGGAATTGGTCTTAGTTTTTCCATTTATAAGCCGGTTTAATTTGGCAATACAAAAAAAAATCAATATTTTGTAAAATTAATTTGCATTCTTTGTGGATTGCATGAATTCATTGAACAAAGGGCAATTCAGTGTTTTTTCCCCCTTTTCCCCACGTGGAATACTCTGGGGTCGTTTGGAAGTTGCGATAGTTTTGTTGAGATTGTCATTATGCATGTATTGTTTACAATGTATCGTTTTTTTGTTTTTTTAGCAGAAACAATACATGGATTGTTTTTGTGATGTGACAGAAACTATCACTCATTTTCAGTGATTGTTATATCTCAACTTTTAGTTGTGATTGTTGAGATAGTTGAGTTGAGATTGTTTTGTCTCAGCTTTTAGTTGATGGGACATACACCATCACACATACCAAACGTTGTATTCTACAATGCATCAAATTCGACAATACATGTATAATATTATACATGCATTCTCAACAATACATCTATTTAACAATCGCAACTTCCAAACGACCCCAGATCTGTTTATTTAATTTTTAGGTATTTGGGGTCCTCCATCCATTCATCCACTTGGCCAACTTGACAACAATAATAATAATAATTATTATTATTATTTATCAATAAGTGCAGATCAAAATGTGCTGTTGGGTTTACCTTTTTGTGCACATAGATTGGCTCAATCTGCGAGAGTGGATGAAAGCTCAGTCCCTTGTTTCTTGAGCTTCTCTCAATGGATGTTAGATAATGGAAATTGTATAAGATTTGTCAAGTTTAATCAAATTATATTGTCGTATATTTGAATTTGAGAAATTTGACGTACGTATTATACTACAAAATATTGTGTTTCACGTTCTTCTATTTTGGTTGATAATGTCTCTTACTCTAACAGATTTGGTAATGTTATAAACCCTTCGTTCACAAGAGAAACCACGTAAACTATTGTGTCGTTTGGTATTTAAACCAGGTTTTTCGATAACGAGGGGTGGTTCCGGCGGCTACGATTCAGCCAAGAATAATCCACATCAAGGCGGTCAGAGGTTGAACCCGCAGCTGAGCTTCACCGGCCCAGAATCGGGCCTTTCTCAGATATCGGAGGGCAGCGAGAGCGACGACGTGGACGAAGAGACCGGCCGCCACCATAGTTCGTATAGCAATCCGGCGTCGTCTGGGTTTGTCATGGATTGGGACAATAGTAGTGGTGCGCCCAACTCCATCACATTCTCGGGACAACCGCCAAGCAAGAAGTTCAGAGCCATGGATGGAGACATCTATACTTGCTACAACGGCTTGGACACCCAGGTAATTGTGATTATTTTTTTTTTTTTGTCGCGTAAGTTATTGGAACGAACTGATTCTGATATATCGTGTTTGGTCGGGTGCAGTTTAGTATGCCACAGACGACGTTAGAGATGGCGACGACGGTGGACAGGTTGTTGCATATACCGGATGACTCTGTCCCGTGCAAAGTTCGAGCTAAGCGTGGGTGTGCCACCCACCCTCGAAGCATTGCCGAAAGGGTTAGTTATTCTTAATTACTTACTTAGTTATAATCTCATCATATAAGTGTTGATAATGAAGATTGTTTACGTAGTATAATATATCATCACGATTAGCCGTGTTTAATTACGCAGGAAAGGCGGACCAGAATAAGTGGGAGGTTGAAGAAGCTTCAAGATCTCGTTCCTAACATGGATAAGGTAAGCAAATATCTATATATATATCTTCTGTTGAAAGCGTCTCTCGTTCAATGTACGTAGTAATCTTGGAAACCTTTTGGTCGTTGTGCAGCAAACGAGCTATTCAGACATGTTGGACTTGGCGGTTCAGCACATCAAAGGCCTTCAAAACGAACTCGAGGTGTGTGTTCTTGAAATACCATTATACGTTTAAATTAGCGTTGAAAATTCGAGTATTATGTTTCGATTCATTGTTTAAATTCAGATCTTCGTTGTTTACTTTGTGCAGAAACTTCATCAGGATATGGAGAATTGCACCTGCGGATGCCGACCATGCAAATGACTTTCTTGGCTGACAGATTTTCCTACCAGAGACAGCTTTTGTATCCATTTTCTTCTTCTTAAATACCCCCAAAATGGTTGTTTTCTTAGCTGAATAATTATTTACACACTTGGGGGGAAATAGTTTTAGTTTTTTTTTGTTTGTTTCTAGCTTTGTTTATGTACATATTACATAATATGGGGGATTTTTTTAATCAAACAAGTGTTTATATTTTACGGTTCAATCTCAGAAACACAATTTCCTTTACTGGTAAGTTGATATTTACAATCGATAACAATAATGACTAACCTCCCAAATAAAAGTAACGTAATTTATATTTTATTTCGGTTTGGTGGTTTAGGCGCTTGTAATTGGAACGGACCAGGCTTTGGGCTTTTTTCGCGGGAGGTTGATTTCCAAGCCCCGTTTCCCTCGTCAGCCCAATGTTCCGCAATCCCGGCCCAACTTCATCATGCAATCCCACTTTAAAGCTTCTTTGAAAAAACTAAACTTGGATGACTGAAATGAAAGAAATAATAACATAAGGGACTGAAACGGAGAAGGAAAGAGAAAAGAAGGGTGGCCGTCGTTCTCTATCTTAGCTAAAGGGTTTCAAGCTGCCGGGGACCGCCTGAGATACAATTGAAAGGGAAAAAAGGTCGTCGGAAACAGAGAAGAAGAAGCTACTGCTCTCCCGCTCCGAGGTCTACTGAATCGTCATCATTTCGCTGTCGCCGGGGGAGATAGGGAAGGATTTCTAGTACTTGTTCCTTGTCAGATGTCGCATAGATAAAGAAATTGGAGAGGGAAGCGAAAAAGCAGGTCTTTGGATCCGATCTCGATTGAGAGACCAGTCATCGGATTCTACTGTTCCCGCGGCGACATTGCGCCATCGCCGAGCTACACTGTGGGGGGAGGAAGCTAGAGGCTGAATTGGGTCCGTTGTGAATTTCGAGTACTTGTCGTCTGTATTGCTGTGAATCGAGGGGATAGCTGGATTGCAATTGAATCATCTTCTGCCCTCAAGCCTGGGTATCTTTCTTCTTCTTCTTCTTCTTCTCCTTCTTCTTTATATCTGATTCTCATTTCTCTGTGATATAAGAACATGATTGCTACGGATTTTCAAAGGACCAAGAGGGCATTAATAATCCTCTGCGTGTTCCTTGTTTCAAAGTTGAGAAATGGAGCATCAATTGGCTTCTGGAAATTCTTTATCATAGTTTGGCGAATGACGGATCAACGCAATGTTGGTAGCCTAAAGGCTTTGAATTTAGTGATTGAAATTACTGTTGGATTCTCTTGCTGGCCATTCGTTGCAATACAGGAGTTCAATCTTGAGATATGGGAGTTTTGTTTCTGATTTTGATATGTTGATTGGATATTTGCAGGTAGTAATAGGTAATGGTACCATCTACCAGCGATGTAGATGAAGCAGTTGAAATGGAGGAGGAGGAGACTTCAGATGATGGACAGGAAACAGCTGCACCACCAGAAGCAGTTGAGATGGATGAGGAGATTTCAGATGATGGACAGGAGACAGCTGCACCACCAGAACATCAAGAAGAAGATGAGTCAATCCTAGAACCATGTGAGGGTATGGAATTCGATTCAGAAGACGCTGCAAAGATATTCTACGACGAATATGCACGAAAGCTGGGATTCGTCATGCGTGTGATGTCATGCCGTCGGTCTGAAAGGGACGGGAGAATTCTTGCTCGTCGGTTCGGCTGTAACAAGGAAGGTCACTGTGTTAGCGTTCGAGGCAAACAAGGTAACATTCGAAAGCCACGACCCAGCACGAGGGAAGGATGCAAGGCTATGATTCATGTCAAGTTTGATAAATCCGGGAAGTGGGTGATCACGAAGTTTGTGAAGGAACACAATCATCCACTCGTTGTTGTTGCGCACCGTGAAGCCCGCCAGACATTGGTTAGTTTGTTAATCAGTCAGTTGTCTCTCCCTTCTGACTTACAGCAGGATATATATTCTCTTGTTGTCTTTGACAATGTTTTGAAAGGATCAGCTTCTCTAGACTCTAGTTGTTGGTAGGTTATGAGAACTAAGACCACAGTTTAGTTTCTATTCTGGTTGATTTGATCCTAAGTGGCTTTTGCTCGAGCCAGCAATATAGTTGTCATTAGCCACGACATGAGTAATTCTATGTTCCATAGGGGCTTATAGCTGGCTTGACATGGCCGTGTGTTTAACAGAAATGGTAGATTATTGTTTTCTATTTGCACAGAAGGCTTAACTGAGATGAAACTTCTGTAAATTGCTGCACAGGATGAGAAGGACAAACGTATACAAGAACTGAGCATGGAACTACGAAACAAGAAGAGGTTATGCACGGTGTATCAGGATCAGCTATCCGCATTCATGAAGATCGTCGAAGACCACTGCGATCAGATATCGACGAAAGTGCAGAATGTGGTGAGAAATATCTCAGAGTTGGAATCTATAGAGTAGGGACCTATGGCTTCTTCAGTTCTTCTGCATGATAGATAGTTTGCAGGGAATAATCCAAGTCATCTTATACGATTGTTTTCCTGTAAGTAAATTGCAATGTGAATTTGTCAGTCAACTAAACAGAAGACTTGGTAACAACCAATGACAGGTTCACTCATCTTGTATATGTTTATTTCAACTGATCTTGATTACCACTTCTTTCGTGTAAAATTCTTAAACTTTGACATGAATGATAGAACTTATGGGTGTGATTTGGCTATGATGGAATGTGAGAGCTATTAAAAAAATACTTGCTAGCCTAGCAACAGAAACGACTGCTTTATTAGTTACTCCAAATTTGAGAACACAAATTCGTTCAAAAGCTAAGTTGGGTGATTAATTTGTACATGTCCCTAAATTATAGTGAGCGTTTGTGTAATTGGCTAATAATCATGTCCCCTTATTTCCTGGCTCATGTTAAAGGAAATTATTTTGTCTCCTTCTAATGATTCATTTTTTCTTCATTTGTTTAATTTTAGGTTTTATCATGCTAGCATGGTGAATAAGATTTCATAAATCTCCAAAAGTAATGCTTTCTTTTTGGCTTTTCATGAGTGATTCAAACATTTTAAAATTGTAAGTTGTAATCCTAAAAGATTAACCAAGACACCCAACATCATTGATTCAATGGTCATCATCATGAAACTACCAATTACCAATCCCTCTACATTATTATCACAATTATCAAAATTGATTTAAACTCATCAATAATACGTTGTCTTGACCTTAAAAGTTCGCAAGTACTACTTCTTTGACCTACCATAATGAATTTCTATATTACTATTACAATCAAACAAGGAGGAAATCAGTAAATAATTCGCTAGACTCTAACCCAATACATTATAACTTACCATAAAAAAATCGACAACTAATTCATGACACTCCAACCCAACTCGCTAAATCTTGTTTTATGATTAACATCCTACAGGCTAGAATAAGGAGAAAGGATTAAAAATTTCAACCCTTTTCCTTTATTTGAGCATTAAAATTCAACTCCAAGTCTTCCCAAGAAAACTCCCCCAAATAAGGAGAAAATTAAATTTATTATTTGATTTGATAAAATAATGACATTGTAATAATTCAAATGAAAATAAATAAATACTTTTGTAATAATAATAGAGGGAAAAATAAAAAAAAGGAAGCTGCTCTATCATTCATACCGCAGCAGCATGTCTCTGCCAGCTTGACTCCCTCTTTACCATTACAGAGACTTTCCCCCTTCCCCTTTCTTCCGTTCTTCCTCCTCTCTCTCTCTCTCTCTCTACCCTCAAACCCATTTCCTCCCCGCCGCCGTCTGCCGTGGAAAACATATCCGAGGTGAGCGAACTGCGAAGCGAGAAGAAATGTCGTCGTCGGACGAGGAAGGAGGCGAGGAGTACCTATTCAAGATCGTCATAATCGGCGACTCTGCCGTCGGGAAGTCCAATCTCCTGTCTCGCTACGCGCGGAATGAGTTCAACCTCCACTCCAAGGCCACCATAGGCGTGGAGTTCCAGACCCAGAGCATGGAAATCGACGGCAAGGAAATCAAGGCCCAGATTTGGGACACCGCCGGCCAGGAGAGGTTCCGCGCCGTCACCTCTGCTTACTACAGGGGCGCCGTCGGCGCCCTCGTCGTCTACGACATCAGCCGCAAGACCACCTTCGAGAGCGTCGGCCGCTGGCTGGACGAGCTCAAAAGTAAGTGTTTTTTTTTTCAGCTGCTGAGCTCTGCTTTCCTCTGGCTCATTCGTTCGCGCATTCATTGATTGAATTTGATTATTGGTTGGGAGCTTGAAGTAGATCTGGAGGTTTGAACTGAAATTGAGGAACTAATCGATCTTTCAATTCCCATGGAGTTTTTTTTATAGTATCAATTTAGATGGGGAATTAGAAGTTTTTCGCCTGCAGCTAGCTAGCTAGCATTTGTCTGGATGTGTTTGCTTCTATCTGTTTGGCTTTGAGTGTGGATCTTTTGATTCGTGTAGATTCTATCTTCGGAGCTCCGATGCTCTGGATAAGCTTGTGATTAGAGAACTTGCATTGTTCATCTGAATTTCGGTTCAGGCTGGGATGGGGAGGAAGGAAGTTAAAGTTTGTTTCTTTTGTTGATCTGTGATTGAAGTCTTTACCTTTTTGGATGTAACTGAACTTAGTTACGGTAAAGGTAGTAGTTTGAGGCAGAGTACTCTTTGATTGGAGACACCATTGGAACTTTGGAAGTTCCTTGGCAGGGTTTGAAAAATAGATTGAAGAAAAAGATGGCTCCTTTTTGGTAAACAAGATGGGACCATTGAATGGTTTAAGAAAAGTTGGAATGGATTTCATTGTTAGGAGCTGAAAAATTACCATAAATATTCGCTTTTCGAATCTTACACGAGAGTTAGTTGAGTTGGTGCCTAACTAGCAACGATATACATTTCTGAAAGTCATCGCCTTTTCTCTTACATCTTACCCCAAAGGTTGCGTATCACTTTGATTATAGAACTTGATATTGAGACAACTAGGCAGCAAGCTTCTAATAAAGCATCATGAGCATTGTCCATTGTCTCGGCCAGTTTTTGCCGTTATGTTGCTGATGTGAAACCACTGTACACCACCACATCACCAAATCGGTACTTAGACCCTCTTTACCCTACCACTTCTATACAACTTGGTGACTATCATGAACAAAAATGCGACTTCTCATCTCGATTAAAGGGGTGGTGCTTTCTTATTAGTCTTCTTAATCTTGTTATCGTTTTGAGTGTAGTTGGGACTTGAGAAGTATAATGGTTTGGCTTTCTGAATCATTTCCAGCTTCTGTCTGTTTTCGCATTGTGGAGACATTGCTTGCTTACTAATATCAGATCGCTGGTAGTTTGAGTGCTTTGGTTATGTTATGAACTAGAATGAAATATAACTAGAAAGATAAACTATATAAGCTGATTTGCTATTCTACAGTCTACCTATTGATGTGCAATAGATTCAGTCAAAGTCTTTTCTACTTGATGTTGTAGCAGAATCAAGTCGAAAATTGGAGATTTTGCGTAGTTTAGAGGATGCCGAGATGACTGTTTCATTAATCAACACTAATTATACATGTATGTCAAAAAAGTGAAATAAATGTCTTGGATTATTTTTAATTTGTTTGACAATTGCTGATTGTGAGTGGCGATATCTTTTACTATATATAGAAACCTTTGATCCCCCATATACCTACTATCATGGCTAAAATTTTATTGAAACATTGGTGCAGTGCATTCTGACACCACGGTGGCTAAAATGCTGGTGGGCAACAAATGTGACCTGGACAACATTAGAGATGTGAGCGTCGAGGATGGCACGACCCTCGCAGAACAAGAGGACCTATTCTTCATGGAGACTTCTGCACTCGACTCGACCAACGTTAAAAAGGCCTTCGAGATCGTGATCCGAGAGATCTACAACAATGTGAGCAGAAAGGTCCTGAACTCAGATGCGTACAAGGCCGAATTGTCCTTGAACAGGGTCACCATATCCAACGATGGTAGCAACGGATCAAAGAAATCTGGTGGCTACGCGTCCTGCTGCTCCAGGTGACCGCCTTCCTCCTCCTCCGATCTCTTCTCTGGACATCAAGAAGGGTAGAATTTTCAGGCAGTTCTTCCTTGTTAGTTCTACTCTTGGTTTGTTGATTCAATTCGGGTCCAACGTTTTGGTCTGTTTTTCTGCTGTTGCATAGTTTAAAGAACAGACACTTTGTTTCCGTTTGCAAAACAAATCAAGTTAAATATCGTATAGATGAACATTCGATTATTGGTTCGGAAGATATGCAGAAAGGCCTAGAGTGAGAGAGACGAAAAGGATGACCATTTTTTTTCCTTCTGAGATGTTCTGTATCATGAGTTGGGTAAAAAAATTGTTGTACACTTGCTCCTACAATGCTCATAATTCTACTTCCCGCCTTTTGTATCCATTTGATCTGTGCATTCCCATGTTCATGCTCTTCTCAGCAAGGATGTCCTTTTGTATCCATTTGATCTGTGCCTTCCCATGTTCATGATCTTCTCAGCAAGGATGGAGAATCATTTGATAATATTATTATATTTTGAAGGTTGCGAAATTATATCGGATTTCGAATTGGTATGCTTGATAGTTGTTCAACCTTAAAATTCAGAAACTGTGAGAAAACCAAACAAGTAATATAGTGATAGAAGTAGAACCACATTGGTTTTTATCTATAGTGAGTGGTGAATGGTGATAGAACCACACTGGTTTTAGAGGCCCTCATCAACCTCATCCAACATATCTTATTAGTTATTAGTGGTGAATGGTGATATAGCAATTGGTCCTATCCAATCACTTTGTGTTCTTCCAGCTTGTGAGATTGGGGCTTCTATTGACTTTTTTGCATCCATATATGATGGAAGGGATTTGCTTTGCTTGCCTGGAACCCAAAACTAACACTAACTCACCCCAAAATGGGCTGGAGATCCTCAAAATCTTTTCCCTCCAAGGATTCCTCATCTTCCTTTGAATATAGTCTTATTATTATTATTTTCAATCGTGTTGGCAACTATGGCTGGTTTGGCTTGTGGGTGGGGAAATTAAAAGGTCACAAACTCACTTACTCACAAGTCACCAACCAATGTATGGGTTGGGCGGTTGGCAAACAATGATGGGAACCCAACTCCCACAACCACAACACACACTTCAAACCCTACCACTACTAACTCACTAACATGAAAAAAATAAGTTGGAGCCTGCAACACTAACACAACAATGGAGATGGGTACCAAAAATGAGCCACTCACAAACACTAATATAAGCTGAAATGCACTACTATGAGCAGTAGTGTCACCCTGACATGTTATTTGAAAAAACTACCCCGAAAAGAAGTACAAAGTTATATAGTGATTCTTAACAAATACATTTATGGATTGTGTTGTTTGTTTTGTTTTGAGCCTCTCGATTGGAAATTCCATATTGATTGGTTGTAAGTTAGGATAAATTGCCGTTGCTTGTTCATTACATCATTGGGCATATGGCTTGCATCGCATGTCATGTATCTTGAAGATTCATATATTGTCTCTCGAGCGGGCTCGTATAAATCTCGCATCTCTTATTGTTGCTATGATGCGTTCAATGTTTGTGAACCATCGACAATGTAATAACTAACTATGGATAGCCATATTATAGAAAGATATGGACGAAATCTTTTGACTTGATTAAAAACGGATAAGAGCCGTGATACAGAGACATAATTAACATACATAATACAAATTACCTATGAAAATACAATTAAGAAAACTATGAAGGGAAGATCAGCAACAGATATATGTCTTCTAGAAGCCTATTTTTGTTGTTCTGTTTTTGGTCCTACCACGATGAAGCAATAGACTCCTCCTTTTCAAGCTTCTGATTTTGATTGCTAATGACAAAGACTGATAAGAAAAGATGGCTGCCCTTTTTTATTTCCTATCCTTGTGGGATTCTCTTTAGATTTCCTTTCCAAGCCTCCACCTTTTCACTTACTGTGATCTCCAATACTTGGCCATCTCGAACCCATTTCTGGAGTTGTGGTAATCCTCAATTGCCTGGTGGATCTCAGCCTCTGTGTTCATCACAAATGGCCCATGCTGCACCACTGGCTGGTTCAGTGGCTGCCCTGCAATCAACACGAACCTCAATGGCTTCGAGCTCGACCTGTTCCACGCGCTCATGCCTTCTCCTGGTCCCAGAACGACGGTATGGTGGGCCGCAATGGGGCTCGAATTTGGGACACCAAACACTCCTTCGCCTTCGATGATGTAGATGAATGCGTTCCATGTCTCTGGAATTGGCTGGTGGAATTGGGTCCTTGGCTGCATGGTGAAGTCCAGGTACATTGTTGGTGTTCTGGTGTAGACTGGTGACTCCACTCCCATCGATTCTCCTGCTATGATCCGGACTTCGACTCCATCGTTCTCTGCTGTTTTGATGTCTGAGCTCAGTAGTTCCTGGTATCCTGGCTCAATCCTGTAACACAAAAAAATTGCAAGGGAAAGGTAATATCAGATTCATTCGTTACATCGTGTTCGAATCCCAGTAGCTCCTGAAACTAACAAGTTAATGTATTGGTGAACCGTCTTTCTATGATTCGAGCTATTGCAACGAACTGGTTATTGAGGCTTACATTTTGTATTCAGAAGAGAGATTGATCCAGAGCTGAAGGCCTCTCTGGACTCCTTGCCCTGCAGGCATTTCTGAGTGGATGATCCCTCTTCCTGCTGTCATCCACTGTTCATATTGACAAACAGGAGGGGGGAAATGATAAGCATGAAAGTGACATAAACAGGAACAAGTATGTAACTCAAATGAGGTGTTAAGCAGAGTCATTGATTTTGTACCTGAACATCTCCAGTTTGAATGGTGCCATTGTGGCCAGCAAAATCCTGATGAGTGAAAGATCCCTGAAAACACATCAAGGAAAATAAGTTAGACATATATAAGTTGGTTCCTGGAGTGTTATAAATCTTCTCACAGGCATTTTGTCAAACAGGTTGGTTTCTGAACTATTGCCAACAGTACCTCCAGCATGTATGTAACAGTTTCAAACCCTCTGTGTGGATGATCAGGAAATCCACCAGGAGCTGACACTGCAAAAAGGTAATCAAACGAATTCAAGCCTCAAAATGCATCCCATTGAGAGGAGAAAGAAAGCATTTCTTATCCTGCCAAATGCACAGAACAACTAAAAACTGAAACAGACCTGAAAATTCATCCAACATCAGGAAAGGGTCCAGAGACCTGAGCTCGCTCCTGCAATGAAAGAAAATCCAATTCCAACCACAACCCATATCAGAAAACTCTCACAAAACCAAAACCCAACTCTCAGAATTTGATAAAAACTGAAGAAATGACATAAAGATCCATTCTTGGAGCCTCACGCAATAACCCGAGCTATTGAGACAAATTGGTTCCATAACAAAAACAACTTATACACACGCATATACCTTCCAATGCTTCTCCTGACAGCAGCACCATCGCCTTCCCGCTGGAGCTTAGCAAGAACCTTCTTGGTCACCAACCTCGGAGAGTCAAAACCAGAGGAACCCGATTCAGACATGGCGTTTCTGACAAAGTTCACAGCTTTCTTCGCGTTACCGATCTGGGTATTCCCTCTACACGCTCTACTAGCAGGCAAGATCAACCTCTGAAACACAGCTCTCATAAAAAAAAAAGTCAAGACAACTTTCTGGGATTCTCGTCAACTGGTTTGTTGGGTTTGTAAAAAAAGGATGGATTGCTGAGGAGGCGCTCTGGTCAATCTATATATAGAGGAGCCGAAAGGGAGGGAAGGGAAGGGGGATTAAATTAAGTGAGTTGGAGGCAACCACGGACATGACGGCAACATATGGTCATGCTGACGAGATCACAACAATGGCAGAACAAATTGGAATTTGGGGGGGGATGAAACTAAGCTTGGAAAGTCGGAAGATACTTCTTTGTTTTTTGTTTCAGCAGGTGATTGAAGGCGGCTTCAAGCTTCAACCCCATTTTTGCTTCGGTCATGGTGTCGAAGCTTTGGACGTAAGCATTACGATGGGTCTCTTTTGCATTCAGATTACGTTTTATTATATTTATTTATTGCTTCTTGGTGTTATTGGTTTAGAAATTTGTTGAGAATAGGACGTAATAGTGACGCCGGTAATGATCTGTCAACAGTGACAGTTGACGAAGAAAATGAGATATGTTGGGACATTTATCATGTATATTCGCAATTTAGCACTTCTTTTATGCAGTTTTATCTATAATAATTTATATACATTTGGTCTCTTTGAAAACATTACATCCATAAATATGAACCCTGCACAAAATTTACATCCGATTTGGCCACGGTACTTATTTGCCTCATAATTCACACATATTCGGGACATTATCCTAATGTACATATTCATAATATATCTTTGTATGATTGTATCTAATACATCTTTGTATCTTGTACGCGGTACATATTTTGCCTCATCGTTTAGACATTCACCTTTAGCAATAAGCACAAATTTACTGATGCCAAAATTTGGCATTGCCTAAAATATGGTCAATGACCCTGAAGGCCTGAGCTAACTAGCTCATATAGAACCTGCATAATTTTTTACATATATATAAAAATTCAAGGACATAAAACCGTCATTATGACGATAGATATATTATTGTAATAAAGAACATTTTCAAAAATTCCTTATGAACTGTGATAATAAAGACTTTTAAGGAGTAGCACAAACTCGCAGAAGAAACAAACTCCAGGCACAGATTGAGACAGCTCTTGCCCTGCTGCGACCACTGTCCATTGTTAATTTTTATGAGCTGGAGCATGTTCCATCACAGCACATCACAATGGTGGCTAGTCAAGAAACACAAAACGAGATCTAACAAGTTTCCTCCATGGATTGTGTACAATTGGATTGAAATTTCAAGCAGAGGTAGGGCAAGGAGCTGAAGTGGAGTCGGTTTAGAGTGGGCCAAAGTTAACTGGTTTCAGAACTGAACTGGTTCCATGAGAGCTCTCTCCATCTGCTTTGCCCTCGTCTTAATGGACATGTCGAACACCTTCTGTGAGAACTCAACCACGAGGCCTCCAAGGATGCTAGCATCAATCTGGGGGGGGGGGGGGGGGGGGGGGGGAAAGAACGAGAGAGATTCAGTCAGCTGAATGTCCTCTGTAATTCAGTTGGGTATCAGAAGAAACTAACGACTTTTGTGTTTCTGGAGCGAAATATGCACCTTCTGCTCAAGTGTAACCTGCTTCCCTTGTCCAATAATCTGCTGTAGTGTCTCCTTCAGTTCTTTCTCTTCCGATGGGGGGAGGGGCTGGTTTGTACAAATACAATACAGACCAATGCGAAGTTGTCAAACAATAGAAAGCAAGATAGTTCACTCACCAACAACCTGATATAAACCACATATGTTTTTCCATTAAAGATCTATTGTAGTAACAATAAGCCCATATGGTAGTTAGGTCACTCATTCCAGATAGCTTCCCAGCTAGCACTCTTATGCCAACTCCTTGGTCCAGATTTCCGCATTCTTAAGCTTCGTGTTTAAACCAAGGTTAAAGCTCACAAGTTATTTCAAACTCATTGCACAATAAATGAAGAAGAACTTGCTGATCCATGATCATAACAATTGGCGGGCAGAAATTTATCATTATCTTATATAATGCATGAAACTCAACTTGCATAGGCTGAAAGTTTGATGTTATTATACTACAAGAGTTGTGATAGGTTCATGGCTAATATACTAAATTCAATGTAAGATGAAGTAACAGTTGCTAACGGAATTAGGGAACCATGCAAAAAAAGGTGATGCATTGCAATGTAAAACTCACCATAACTGTTGTCACGGTAGCTTTCACAATTCCTTTATCAGCCATTGTCAGCTCTGCAAACTTCTTAGCTATGGTATCAATGGACCTCAGCCTTCCATTCTCAGCAAGAACAACTGATCCAAAAAGCAATTATATTAGCTACCTCTCAGCACCAAAATCTGAGAAAAAGCTAAAATGTTAAAGTTTCACTTAGGGAGGTACATCTCAGAATCCAAACAGAGTCATCATTGTAATGGGAAAACCAATAAGTCAAAGAAAGAAATTAGTTCCACCCCTAGGTTGATTCCCTCTTTGCATACATGATCAAGTTCCCCTGGTTTATCAACCTTTTAGTTATATATCAACCATAGTTCATATGATCATTTGAAGTAATCAACAGATGGCAACAAGGTCCTGTGTAGAAACTACCATTCAGCTAGTGCAGGAAACCAAAAGTAATTTCTACTTCCCAGGATGAACACACCCCCTTACTTAGAGAAGAACTTCTTACCCAAGAAGGTCTTGGTAACTTGTGAAAATTTGGCTTGGTCAGCTATGTCATTAATGGCCTTGACTCTCGTATCAGCAGGCACTGACAAGTCCTTTGTGAACTGAGAAAAAGTAGGACTTTTCTCCAATGCCCGAACAAGGTCAAGTAGTTCGGCCTCAACTTTATCCAGCACATTAGCCTTTTTGGATGCAATGTACAGAGCAGAGGCATAGTTTCCTGCTCCCCCATACAAAGCTATTGGCAACTACACGAAAAATAGAAACCATCATAGGAAGATTATACAGCGGAACAAGAAAGTTAGAAGATTTTTCTGGTGATCCAAGCTCTAGATTCAAACACATTTTTGAAAGACCCAACACTACTGCCCAACATTTTTGAAACTAGCATTAGACAAGCCAATGAATTCAAATACCTTAACTTTCTGCTCCTTAGGAGGTGCAGCTGCGGTGGCATAATTTCTGGAAGACTGCAAGAAACCAGATGAAGTTAATCAAAAGCGTCACAGCAAACTAAGTATAATCACCCTGCTTGCGAGCGAGAACCATATG